TCTGCTGCTATTTGTGTCCCCACTCTCACTCTTTCGAGCTCTACTAAGACCATCCTCTTCTAAGACACCATCATCATTTCTGTTCCATCTACAATAGGCCTCAAAGTCGTTGCATTCTCTGACTCCCAATAAGACTATTATGAGTCTTGTCTGGTTTGCATAAAGTTTCAGTATGTCTTCACTGGACCAAGACCTGATTTCACTCCCACACCTACGAACCCCTGTACATTCCCCTCATGTCAAAAGATCCACACTGGATCTTTTCTTGAGTGCCCTAAACATCAAGCTTGTCTGTGGTGTCTAAAATCTCCATTCCTCCACTAATAGATCAGCTTGAGATCTGGATTGATGATCCAGTCAGTTAGGTCTTCTCTGAGCATCCCACTTATTATTGTCTTCAACCTACTGTGCTTCTGGCATTATTCCCTTGTCAGGTTGGTTTATAATAATTTTACGACATTTACCAACATATAGAAATTTGTACATTTGTTCTTTGCTGTTGTTCCAATTTACAAAGTAAATTCTTTGAGAAAAGGGCTAAGCACTCTTTGAACACTTATACATGTCTGAATCATCTTGACCAAATGTGACAGAGATATGAATACTAAAAATAATGCATTATAAATTAGTAGATTAATTAATATGCTATGAATACTATTTGTTCAAGCATATTTAGTTACTAGCCACCATTGGTTCAATAATTTTATATTGAACAGGAGTACAAGAGCATGGTGTCTAACAGACAGGACCTCTTATTCTGGAAAAGTCCCTGGCTACAGTACTTGGTAACCTTAGAAAATTAACTTACCCTTTTAGAAGATTCAGTTTTATCATCTATAAAATGTGAACTACAATAGTCTCTAATTTATAAACTGATAAGGCCAGTGAACTATGAAATAAAAAGCCCAGTCCATAATCAGGAGTGTCAACGAAAGGGGGCTTGCCAACTGTCACTTTGTTTTTGTAAGAGCTGTGGAAGGCAATGAAGGCCACTGATAAGCAGTTAGCATTGTTCCTGCTTCCAGCAAGGGTTCAAGCAACTGAACAGACAATTTAATGCATTATGTTAAAAGGTGTGAAAGAGGATGTAAAAGGTAATGTGGGCTATGCCAGTGGGTCTTTCTGGCATCAAATCTAAATGTACTTTTCTTTGCTAATATTACAATAATGACAAATTTTGCCACACTTTGTGATTTGCTTCATACTTAGAGCTTGATTTTTTTTCAAGCATCTTTTTTTCTAGAGTTTCTAATTATTAATTCTTTCTAATGTGATGGAACTTTATTTTATTAGTGTATTTTTTCTACATTTTGGTTATACTGGATATATTAGTGAGGCCTTTAGTCTTCATAGATTTTCCTTTTGGAGGTTTCTGTTTCCCTCCATCATTGCCTTGCTGACTCTCCAGGTCCAAATCATCAAACTGAGACCTCCTTCCCCTGTACTTCTAAGTGGCTCTTCCTCTTTCTCCTCTTTTGCCTCCTCCTCCTCCCCTCTCCTCGTCCTCCTCCTCCTCCCCTTCCCTTCCTCCCCATCCTTCTCCTCCTCCTCCTCCACCTCCTCCTCCCCATCCCCCTCCTCCCTATCCTCCCCCTCCCCCTCCTCCCCCTCCTCCTCCTTCCCTCCCCCTCCTCCAGGTCCTCCTCTTCCTTCTCCCTCTCCTCCTCTTCCCCCTCCCCCTTCTCCTCCTCCTTTTCCTCCTCTTCCTCATCCTCCTTTCTTCCCCTCCTCTTCCTCTTTCTCCTCCTCCTCCTCCCCCTCCTCCTCTTTCCTTTTCTCCTCTCTTTCTCTTCCACCTCTTTCTCCTCCCCCTCCTCTTCCTTTTATTCCTCCTCCTCCTCTCCTTCCTTCTCCTCTACTTATGCCTATATTTTATTGAAGTCACCTTCAAGAAACCTAGTACACTTAGTTTTTAAAAGTTTGCAAATATCTTCACATTTGATTAATTGTAGCCTATGTTTAAGAAAATTAGCCTTTAGAAGCTGAATGCACACTCTGCTTTCTACAAGTCTTCAGTACAAACCAGTGACTCATTTGGTACATCCTGATTTTGTTCTTCTCGAGACTACTGCCTTCCTGCCTGGGCTCGTTAACCATCTCTACTTCCCATTTTTAATACTGTGTCATAAGATTTCATGTGAAGATGTGAAAATCTTTTCTTCATTCATCATGTTGAATTCTCTGTTGACTCAATCTGGTACCATGCCTTTTTTCTCATTCATCGTAGTACTTGGTGCAAAAATTTCTCACTATCCTCATGGTTTTTTCCTTTTCTTTCTGGGATTCTTGTCTGTTTTATGAGAACTCTTGGCTTCTTTCTCACATTTTTCAGAGTATTTATATTTTTCTCTCTAAATGCTTGGAAATATGTTTTACTTTGTTTCTAAATTTCTAATTTGGACTATAATGTTAAAATCGTGAGCATTAAATCTTGTCTATTGTGTGCTCTTTATGACATTCTCTCCCTGTTTTGTTCTGAGACATCTTTAACGTTGCGATGTTTTCCTTTTCTATGTGATATTCACATTCCTGATTCTTCCAGTTGATCACTCTGTGAAGACAAAGATCTGTATATCCAGCATTGATTTTTCTTTCCATCCTTACTGCATCTACCATGAGCAATAATTCCTGGGAAGGAACTTGAATTTAGTGGTGGTTGGAACAAGGCCAAGACCACAGGACCCTTAAATCCAGTAGTGAGGAGAGCTTTATACTGGGGCACCAAAATTCAGATTATGGCTTCTAACTGTCTCTGAGAATCTTTCTTGGAATGCTTTATAAAAATAGCTAATTGATATTTTGTTTGTAGTTAAATGCTGACTGCCTCCACTTTTACAAAGCTCGTGCGAGCAGATCCGAATGAGGTCAGTTATTCTATATTGAGACATCCAATCCTTCTGCTTTCAGTCCTGTTTCTAGTCCCAGTCTGTCTCTCTCATAAACACTGCTTTTAAGATCAAAGACTCTGAGAGTGTAAAGCAGAATAATTGTCATTCATCTCTTCTCATCTCCCAATGTGTGCTAAACTTGTGCCCTCCTTTACTGGGCAAGGACCAACCCTTGACAAACCAGCCCTGTCCTGGTGCATTCCAGGAAAATATGAAAAAGAAATGAATTCCACTGAGCTCTGGAGAAGGGAAAACTTTAAGCATCAGTTGTAAGTTATCCTTTAGAGAGGGACTGTGGTAGCTAAAGATGCAGTGCAGCAGTGTTAGGCCATGTGTGGATGATGTCTCTATCAAAATAGCATGTATAGAAGTGTTCTTACTAACAGAATTCTCCAAAGCACAGCTCTGCTGTACTGATGGATGCTCTGTTAACTATGAATGCTTTAGTTTGATTTGTTCTCCTTGTGAAGTTCTCAGATTAAGACTAGGCTAAAGGGAAGCAAGGATGTAGCTTGCCTAGCATGTTCAAGGCCTGAATTCAGTGCTTCTGAAAAGGAGAAAGGAAGAGGGAGAGGGAGAAAGAAATAAAATTAAGAGATTAAAATATAGGCCATGAGGGTGACCTGGATGTGACACCTGTCATCTAATTGATCACCCTGGTGGATTTGACTGACTAGGTGGATGTCCCCCTCTTCCCTCACCACTTCCTGTAGGTTCCTCCCAAAGCTGTGTACCCACTGTCAAAGAGTTGACTTTCCCTGGTGGAGGAGGAGTGGTCTTCAGTCAAGGTTACATGAGCCATTGTGCTTTCTTGTCAGAACCTCCAAATAAATTCTCAAGAGACAGAAGTGCCCAGTGTGGTCCCACTTTTAATCCTGGGAGACAGAGGCAGGCCACTAAAGTTACAAAGTGAGACCCTGTCTCAACCACCACCACCACCACCACCACCTCCCACAAAAGAGAGACAGAGATGCACTGTTTTATGAAGTCTTCTTTGGACGACTGTCTAATTTATAGTCCTGAAACTTAACCAAATGAGATTTTTAAAAAAGACAGTCAATATAAATATCACTTACTGAATGAGGAAATGAAAGTAAAATTGGTTGAAACACCTTCCCAAATGCACAGCTTCATCAATACTGAGAAGCAAGTAACATGAAAAGTGCGTGACTTTTAATGTGAGACAGTTTCAGTTGCTGTGAAGGTTCATCCTGACCCTATCACCAAAACTTTCCAGGCTTTATTGTACTTATGTGAAGAATGAGGATAATAAAATCAGCTTTAATGTATATTGAAAGGATTGCTGGAATTACCCTGTTTGGTTCTGGCCAATAGCTGGCAATAAATGTCTTTCTCTCCTTAAGCTGCAAGATTCAGGAGAGAGGTTGTAGTGGCTTTTGTAGTCATAGTTGCCAGCACGTTCTGTGTGCTTATTATGGGTTAGGGAATGTTTACTTAGTGATTTTTGTCTGTTTTCTCAATTAAATCCTTGCCTCAAGCCTGCATGTTAAAAACATTGTTACGTTACAGCTGTAGAATATGAGGCTCAGAGAGGGTAAGTAATTTGTCCAAGATGGTTCTGCTAGAAAGTACAACCCTGAGGTTTCAATACACATCTCCCTGACAAGGAAGCTTGCTCACATAACCTCTTAGATGAGCGAAAGACAAGAACCAGACTCTGAGTTGGGATTTGATATATATTAAGCAAAACCTTCGAACTGTATGGTAGATAATGAATGACAAAACTCTGAGTCCCCAGCATTTTGAGCATTCCTAGCTTCAGAGACACATTGAATCTGTGGTCTCTGTGCTCTTAGACAAGAGCCCTTCCAGTTGCGTGTTCTACCCCCGAAGCTCTTTGTGATAGGAAACACAGTTTATGAACAGACCACTGCTTGGTGATGGACAGGTCATATAGCCACTACACAGATGGGTGAACCGGAAAAGAAAAGACACATATGAAAAAAAATGTTCCCCCAAACAGTGTTTCACATGCAAAGACACAACTCGTATGGAAAATCTTGGTGCTCACTGGGAGTACTCCACTGCTTAGGTAATTAATTTCCTAGGGCTAGTCATTAACAGGCTTCCTGCTTTCTCTTCCGTTGACAGGCCCAGCTGTAAGATACAGTAAGTTCAAGATGTCAGAGGCAATGCCACCTCCCCTGCTAGGGCAGCATACGACTCACATCCTGAAGGAGGTCCTCGGATATGACGATGGGGCTGTCTGGGAGCTACTCAGCAGTGGTGTGGTAGCACAGCATGAAACCAACTGACAGAGGAAAACGCTGGCTCTGAAAACTGCACCTGACTGGCAGAGGCGATGCTCCTCGGTCCTACATTCCTCCCTGTGCTCATCCTAAGGAAAAGCAGAGGGAGGTGAACTCAGATTCCCTGGAATCTCTGCAATGATTTAATTAATGAGTCTAGTGCCTTCAGATATAACCCATTCTTAAATCTATTACCTTTACTGCTTTTTTCCCCTAGAAAAAGGCTTAATTATTGATTTGTGAACTTTGACTAATTCTTTTGTTCTCATTGAAAAAACTGATAACTGAGTGATGGGTATGTTGTCCTAATCTGATCCTCCACAATGTATTCATGAATGGAAAGATCACATTATACCCCATAAAATGTACAGTTTTGATTGGTCAGCTAAAAATAAAGCATAAGAAATTATGTTTTGTTTTGTTTTTTTTCTGGAATAAACCTTTCCTTATTCTAATGACCATAATGACTTAAATGTCTGCTTGTCCTTCCCAAACAGGCCTGAAGACAAGCAGCTCTCTCAACATTTTCTCCTTGTGCATAAAGTTCTCATTTAAATTTTTGTTAGGAAGTCAAAGCACTATGTGGAATGGCAGTCTCTTTGATTGATTTTAAACACTGTAATTTAATTTTGAGCTCACGATCCTTTTGTTAGTCTATAATTTAAACCATGGACCTCACTGATGTCTGTTGTAAAACTGAGCTGCACTCTGCCCATAGTAGTAAATATTTGCTTTATGTTGTATTTCTCTGGTGATATGGTGACATACAATGAAGTGTCAGTTTATATAAGTACATGTAGGGTAGGGTATAGGTACTTGTCTCTATGAGTGGTTCTTACATTGATGCTGTATTTTGAGCTATTTCCAAATGAAACAAAATTTAAAACAATGTTGAATGATCCCTCACATTTTAAATAAAGTATAAATAATGACAAATGGGAGAATGAGAATGGCAGGAAAATATTCCTTTGTCATTTGAGCATCCATTATAGAAGACAGTATTTTAATATGTCAGTGAATTCAAAAGTACAGAAAAATCTTCTTCCTAGAAGGAAGTAATCAGGACATACAATGTAGAATGAATTGTTACTGAAGCCTGCATAGGCCAGGTGCAGACTAGGTAATCAAGTGTCCTGTGTTCAGTCCTTTGCTGATATTAGGACCAGCTTTGGGCTTCCAATGTGGATTGCAGACCAGTAGCTCTCTGGGAATTCTCCAGATCTTCATGCCAGATTGGGATTGCTGAGATAACCAGCCTGGTGGGCTGACCAACTACTGGGCTCTTGGCCTCTCCAGTATAAGAGAGCCCACAGGACTACCCAGACCATATCCTGTGAACCAGTCTAATAAACTCCATTTTAGAATATATTTATTCTATTGGTTCTGTTCTGGTGCCTAATATAAGGTACCAGCATTGGTTTAAGAATCATTTTTTAATGAGAATGAAAATGTTCATGAGAAAGCCACACATTTCCATTCCAAACAGCAGGTGAGTAAAACAGAAACACATCCAAAAGACTTAAACTGAGGTCTGAAAGTCTGCTCATGCATTGTGATGCAGTTCTGTTTCTATGTTCAATGCTACAATGCAACAATGTGTTTCTCCATCCAGACACACCATGCTATCTTCTGAGCACAAATGACCATGAACTTTTAAATAAGATCTGCTATGCATAGGATAGTTTTATGATCTGGGGTTAGCAGAATGTAAGCAAGTTTAATAGTCACATGTTCCTAAAACTCAATCAATAACATGTCTTCCTCTATCATCATTTCAGGAGGTTGTGGTATTAGACAAATGAATGCTAATATTTCACATGAATGCATTTATTCCAGACGCTATGGAAAACAAGAATCACAAAGGAGAGCTTTGGAGGAATGAGAATTAAGTATGTAGATTAGATTAGCAGGAAAAGGAATAAGAGCACACCCAGAGAGGCAGATGTGAGTGTGCATCCCCCAGGCAGGCACTGGAGGGCCCTGGCCAGGACAAAGTCAGTCTTACAGTGACCAGGCAGGCCCTGAAGGAAGCATAACCCCCCCCCCAAAAAAAAACCATAATTCACTCACTTCATTTTTTCCTCTGAAATAGTTATTTCTTCCTTTTTCCTTGTTTTCTAAGACCTTAGGTTTAAAGGGGTAGGGCAGGGAATTCCGACTTTACTGTTCTGTTTCTTTCTCTTTTCTGTGATTACTTCCTTTCCTAGCTTTCTTTATGCCCCCCCATCCTCTGAACCTCCTTCTCCCCTTTTCTCCCTGTGATAATATGTTCCTCTTCTCCTTTTATCTCCTTTGCCCTACTCCTCATATTCCCTAATTCTTCTTTTTCCCATTCCTTTCTTCTTTTCTTTCTGAGATGGGCATGCACAGAGGTATAGACCCATGTACACAAGCGTGCACATTAAAGCCTTGGTTGGTCTGTCAGAAAAATGGGGCTTGTTCAGGAATTTGGAAAATAACTAGTATCTGTTATGACACTGCCTGTACAAGGAATCTTGAAATAATCCTTGCGTGAGTCCTAAACTTGGTTGTCAGCTTCATAAACCTGGGAAGAGAGAATCTCAATTGAAGAATCCCCTCTATCAAATTGACCTGTGGGCTTGTCTATGGGGCATTTTCTTGATTGCTAATTGATGCAGAAGGGCCCAGCTCCTGGTAGGCAGTACCATCCTTAAGCAGGAGGCCCAGGCCCTATAAGAAAGGCAGCTGGATGTGAGTCTGAGAGCAAGCCAAGGGGCAGCTTTTCTCTGTGGTTCCTAGAGCAAGCTCCAGGCTTGAGTTCATGCCTCAGCTTCCCTCAGTGATGACTATAAACTATAAGCTTAAATAAATAAACTTTTTTTTCCCTTAAAATTTTTTGGTTATGGTGTTTATTACAGCAACAGAAAGTAAGCTAGAACATGTGGGTGGTATGATATGTGTGTGTGTGTGTGTGTGTGTGTGTGTGTGTGTGTATGTGTGTAAATGCACATGGGTGTCTGTACACGTATATTGTCTCTGCATGTGGAGGCTGCCTGTGAAGACATCATCCTCAGGATGATCCCCATCTACCACCTCTGAGATGGGGAGTCTATCGTTAACCTGGAGCTTACCAACTAGGTTAGACTGGTGGACAGTGGGCTCCAGGGATCCACCTATCCTTACATCTCCAGTGCTGGCATCACAATCCCAAACAATGCCTGACATTTTTACATGGGTTGGACTCAGGTCCTCATGCTTTCAAGGCAGCACTTTGCCAACTGAGCAATTCCCTCAACCTATGTTGGGTGATCTTTTGATTAAACTAACTTCTGCTTCTATGAAACCCAAGGAAAAAAGTGAAGGACTGTTCCAAATACCACTGTGGGAGATAGCGAAACCCTTGGGCTTCAAAGCTCTGTCACTTGCACCCAGCTCAAAGAAGAAAAAAAAAAACCCCTAGAATATAGAACACAGAGGAGAGTCTAAACTCTTTGTCTCAACCACAGACAGGAACTCACCAACTAGAGTCTGGACTGCTGTGGAGTAGGTTTCATTAGAGACAGGGAAAGGTATTAGACTATTCTGTCCAGCCTTGGCCTTGGACTTGGTTTCCTGTCCTCCCTAAAAAAGGACACGCTTCAGGTAGTGACTAACCATTTTAGTCAAATGATCTGCAGGAGGATGGTGCCTGTCCTCTACCTTGGTTTTGCTTCTGCCAAACAGGATGATGTGTATAGCCCTCCCATTTGCTGTCTTCTTCTTCAGCAGGATGCAAAACACTTCCACCATCTCTCCTTTTTCCTCCCCTCCCCTTTCTTTTCTTTGCACATCAACCCAGTGACAGTCTGTTGGTTGCTTTGGCTCCTGACCACATAGATTGGAGGAACAGTTTTCCTGCTCTTCATCCTATCACCAGCACGCCCCTCCCACCCAGAACTGCTGCACTGGGTTTACGCTGCCCAGTGGGATATTCAGCTGAAAACATGGGGCAGAGATGTGGGGAGGAAAGAAATAAAGTAAAGCTGCTTCATGAAAATATCATTATTTCCACCTCTTTACCTCCCTGTGAACCCTAAAGAAAAAATGTAGATTTCCAGAATATCTTTTAGGATGAGACTTGGCAACATGTGCCATACACGTTCACTGTAACAGTCTTGGATTTATGTTTTAGATTTTTACAAAGAACTTCCTGAATGTATTTGATAGATGCTTTGAAATATGCTGTTCATGGATATTATTGTGCTTCTTCCTTGAAGAAGATAAAGAAACTGTAGTTTCTATTTTGGGGAGGTCATTAACTACTTTTTCTAGAAGTACAGAAGTAAGCTCTGTTTATCTGAGTAGGATTGCTCTTCACGTAGCTGAACATGCTTACACTGACACTGGCACTGATCACTGGGCAAGAATGAAATGCTATATCCCACAAGCCCAGCTCTGGAAACAGAGCCCGCTGCCCTGAGAACCTTCTCATCCTGCTTTGCTGAACTGTGTAATGGAAAAGTCTGAGTCAACAGCAAACTAAAATGTCCCATTCTTAAGATCACGACAGAACTGGAAATATCCAGTCACTTGAGTTCCCACCCCTGAGCTCATGTTTTCTATCTTCTGAATCCCAAACATTTTGTATGCTTCTCTAACTTTACTTTCTGGAAAATCCCAGTGGCAGAAAGTGGGTCCAGTGCTGGGTGCTTAAGACTTCCCAGGTGAATTAGTTATGTGAACTCCTTGACAAACCACTGGGAGGTGACAATGATCAATCTCTGTGCTTTATGCAACTACTCTCACACAACTCAGGTAATCTGAGGTGAAATGAGTAGCTTGGTGGGTCTCTGTGTGGGTGCATTTCTGGGGGAAGGTTTATTAAATTGGCAAAAAGTGCTCACAGACCTAGAATAGGCCCTGTTAGGGGAGGAAAATGACTCTGACAGTAATCAGAACTATTACCTTTAATTTCCTACACAAAATGGAAGGAGATCTATAAGACCCACCAAGTAAAATTTTTTAAATATTATATATTATATGAAATATTTGTGTATATTCCCTCTCAGAATGTATAATAGGTAAAATTCAGGAAGTTGGCAGGTCTTTGGTAAGTTCTATGATTGACATTGAATTTGATGCTACAGAATGGCAATAATTAAGCCTATTATGTTGTTACGTATAAGGCACTGTTCTATATAAATTACTACTGAAGTGACTTGCACATATTATCAGGTGTGTCTGGGAATGTCTGAAGCTGTTCTTTAATGAAAGGAAAATTATGTGCTCTGGCATGTTCAGTGGACTAAGTGCTCCCCAGTCATTATCAGCACAAGCACTGCTGCTCTCAGACTGTGGCTCTAAACTTGTGGCTATGTAGCTTTTAAAATCCTCCGAGAGGTGAAGGGCAAGACACATTATGGGAAGCAAGAAAGACCCTGACACAGTCATTTTGATCTTTGCAAGTGC